GTTCTGAACCCCATCAAATTGTTTAAGTATTCCCCAATCATTAATGCAGAGGTAAGATGGTACAGGAGTTTGTTTTATTGTATCTACTATCAGGTGGTTTGACTGAGATTAAAAGCATCCTGGCATCTGGACCCCCTTATAGCAAAGGGAATATGTCTGCAGGGCAGCTGGCCATGGTGAAGGTCACTGATTGTAGCCCCTCAGTTTCCTCTAGGAAGCCTACTGTCCCGTTTTTATAAGGTACAGTTAAAGCAAAACCCCTGGAGACTTGGGGAAGCTGGAAGACATAGGCCAACACCTCTGTTTTCACTTGACCAATGAGAGCCAGTGTAGAAAATAGTGAAGTACACAAAATGCTAATAATAAAGGACTGGAAATGCACATCATATCTCTTTCCATTTTTTCTTGCTTTCACCACTGTCAGTGCTCTCCCCATTTGAATGGCAAGATCACCTCTCAGTGATCCAGTTCAGAAATGCAACATCACCACATAATGCAGCTCTACCTTAGTTCTGTTTACCGAATTCCCTGTTGAGACAGCTGATGTACACAACCCAAAGCAGAGACTGTAGTTAGCTGCCCCCTATTATTTATTTTACCCTGCTTTCCCTGTGATGGAAGTAAGCCAAACGTTAGTTGAGCATACAGACACACAAAATAAAGACAGTATTCTCCCTTGTAGCTTGGTTGTGGCTATGTCAACAATTTCTTACTAAGGGAATGGCAGATGCAACTTCTGGAAGACATCTTTTTATTATTTTTTCTGATGTAACATTAGTTTATAAGACTACATATGTTTAGAAGTAGAGGTTCACACTTCTTCACACCACACCACATCCACTCACCACCAAAGTACCAATAACCCTCCATCACAATCCATTGTACCTCCTGTCCCCTTTGCTCCCACCCCTTCTTTCCCTCAGGTAACAAGTCCAGTCAGAATCCAGAGGTTTGTTTTGGCTTTTGTCTTTCATTTATTTTGTTTCTTTATACTCCACAATGAGTGAAGCTGTTATAGGACAGGGAGAGGGGCAGCCCAAAACCCCGCAAACCTGCCTATTCTAAATGGGTTCTGCCATCCGCCGCATCAACACAAAACATAGGAGACTTTAATGGGAAGGAACTTTAATAAAACTAGGAAACAATACAGGTAAGGCCAAGAGTCTAGTTTCTAAATGAAGCACCCAAAGTTACCCATCCCCTCGTGGGTAAAAGTCCATCCATATGGGATCGGCCCAGAGCAAGGCCCCAAAGCCTGCCGCAAGTCTAAAGCATCTTCCAGTGGGGACCCACAGAAAAGGATCAGAAACTACCAGACAAGCCCGGAAGGAAAAGAGCAAAATCAACATCAAGATAAAAGCTGCCATGGTCACATCCCCATGGGTCTCACCCACATCTGTGTCACCCAGTCCACGACCACAAGACAAGCGCAGTTTCTTCACGTGTCTCTAGGCTCCATGCGCCTCCTCCAGGTCTCCTGGCTCCATCCTGCTTCCTACCTCAGTCTCTTCTGCCGCTTCTTCTCTTCCTGCTCAGCTCCACCCTCCCTTGGGTGGGGCAGGGAACCTCCCCCTTTCCTGGGGACCACCCTGTTACAAAACCATCCAGTATTTGTCTTTCTCCTTCTGATTTATTTCACTTAGCACAATCCCCTCTATTTTCATCCATGTTGTTGAAAATGGCAAGATTTTATCATTTTTATAGCTGAGTAGTTATTCTATCATGTAGATATGCATGCCACATCTTCTTTATAGATGTTTTTTAAAAGGATATAATAAGTCCTTCTACCTCTCTTTTGTTCTTCTTTCTCATACCTGTTGGCTAGAATGTGGACATGATGATAAAAGATAGAGAAAACATTATGGACATTATGGTATGCAAATAGAGCTTATATGTTGATAATGATGAAACCTGGAAATCTGATAATTGTGGAAATGCCAATCAGCCCCAGATCTGACATTTAATGAGATTAAAAAACAAACAAACAAACAAACTCAACCTGGTTTAAGGCCCTGTTTATTTTTGAGTATCTGACACTCCTAATTAGAATATCTAGAAGTCTGGTGCTGCAAGTAACAGATCCTAAATATGTGACTTACTGTTAGTGGTCAGACAGTGAAGCAGGCTAGAAAACTGGTACTCCTTACTACTCTGTGGCAAATATTTGGTTGCAAAGTGGTCACAGATATCTTGACAGGCAGGGACAATGATATGAAAACTTTAGAACCTAGTTATGTGTTGAATGTTCCTTACTGCGTCAGAAAAATCTTACAAGGAAAAGATAAATTCAGGCTAGAACTGAATGGTATGAAAAAAGAAAAGAAAGGAAGACAGTAGGCTGAAGAGGAATAGCTGCTAGCAGCTTGCAAGCCAATGTGACAAGTCTGTTCCTGTGGGTGCGGCCAGGCTAAGAAGGGTGGTATGCTCTGAATCAATAGTCAAAGCTGGAGGCAAGATGGTACCCCAAGCCTTTTCAAGCAATTTATTCTAAGAATTATCTGCCAGGCAATGGTAGACAGTCCAGCAACAAACATCACAATAAAAGTATTTTCTTCCTCTCCAACTCTGATGTTTCATATGCCCTTAAGGTAGCCATAATTTTGTTGAGGGAGGAATATGAAAAGGATAGAGGCCAATATTTAAAAAAAGAATCTTAAGGCTTAAAAGTTATCTAGATAACATCTGGCTATTGGTAATTGCAAATGGAACTGATTAAAATTAAATGAATTGGAAGCTTACCAAGTATTTTGGAGAAATGTATTGCCAAATAAATTGGAAATTAGAAAACTTCAGAACTGTTCAACCTCCAAAGCAGTCCTTGGGCACTCAAACCCATACCATGAAGAAGCAGGACAAGCGCTTAACAGCTTTTAAATATTTACCTTTGAGGATGCATCACAAAGAAGACCTTCCTGAGGACAGAATCAGAAGATATGTGGAAAATTGGACATGGGAGATCCTGCTGTAGGAGAGAACCCACCATCAAGACTGCCAGATGAGTCAATCAAGGAACTCAGTGTTAGGAAATTACTTTTTTCTACCCCATCACATTATACGAGGTGTTTGAGGAACAGATAACTTGGCTCTATCCAGACCTGATGGAGAGGGCTGGATATTTCCTGGAGGTCCTGGACTTTGAGCTAAGTACCATAATTAGAAAAGATAGACAGAATTTGAGGGGATTCTACCTTGAACAGAAGTTATGTCTATTCTATGTGTGAAGAAAAGAGTTTGCACAGGTCTTCGAATGGAGGCATTTTGGCTGAGACTGCTGCGATATTAGCTTTTTAACTCTGTCAGAACCAATTGCCATAAACATAGTGGCTTAACACAACAAAAATGTACTATCTTACAGTTGTGTAGGTTAGAAGTCCAACCTGGGTCTCACTGAGCTAAGATCAAAGTGTTGACTGGTTTGCAGTCCCTTTTATAGGTTCCAGGGGAAGATCTGTTCTCTTGCTTTTTCCGGCTTCCAAAGGTCACTTGTATTCCTTGACTCATGAAACCCTTTCTTCATCTTCAAAGCCAGGAGGGGTGGGTTGAGTCTTTTCATTCAATGCATCTTTGACCCTCTTTCTTGAGCCAAAGACACATCCCACCAACAAAACACACACTCCAGTAGTGGGACAAAGTCAGGATAACTTTAACAACACTCTCTTTTAAAATAGGAAGAATAAAAATGATAGTCACCATCAATCTATTATCATTCTGATATTAGACTAGGCGGAAGTTTTAGGCCCCCTATACTGAAGATGAGAATGCTCCCCCTTGTAGCTTTCCTGTCTGTGGATTTTCATGGTCCTTAAATTTTCCCTTTGGGAGGTTTCTCTTTTTCCATTACTCTTCATAATGGCACTGAAGAATCTGCTTTAGAGATTGAGTAGTATTCTCAGGCTTTCTGCTTATAGTTGGCATGGGAATCCAGGCTATGTTAAGACTTAAATAGTCACAATTACATTAAATCCAAGTTGGTGCCTTTTGCAGTAAAAAGGTCTTATAAGAGTTATGTTACAAATTTAAGTTTCCTACCTACTCCCATATTTCCTTTCTAGACATATTTTCTTTGCCAAATTTCTACACTCTCTTGTCCCAATGTCCCATTTCTGTCCCATTCTGCTTCCTTCCACCCTCCTCTCTTTCTCTCTCCCTTCCTCCTTCCTGGCCTTTTCTCCTTCCTTCTCTTCCCCTCCCGTCTTCCTTAATTAAAAGGAATTTCAGGGCCCCACACCCACACCCTAATCTATGTTCAGTGATCTTATCTTTGCTGTACAACTGAGTAGTAGTAGGTCTTTGTTACTCAAAGTATCGTTTTTATAATTTATTCTTAGAGTTGAGAAGCAGTTGCCTTTTCTAATCTTAAATTCCTGAATTTGTACACTCTAGTCTCTTTTATTTATCCTTATTAACTGGCCAATTCTCTGAACATATCTTTTTCTCATACTATCTTGCTAAATGCAGCTAATAGCAGTCAGTTAAATAGCAATAACTTGTCCTCAATTTCTTCCCTAAAGTTAAGTATAACTCTGCCTTCTACTTATTGCAGGTAATACTTTATCAGATGTTTTACCACTAGAAAACAAAGATTTCCATACCTCCCATTTTCAGTAATAGAATCTTTGAGTCCCTCCCACCAGTTGTTAAGCCAAGGCCACACATTTTAGGCTTTATTTTATTATTAAAGCAACACCCCACTCTTGGAATCTAAGTTCTATATTATCTCAGGATAAGATAGAAAATCCTACAGTAACAAATTTACCCAAATGTCAACGGTGTAAAGAAAGGGTTTATTTTTCCCTGGTGCCCCCTGTCTGTTGGAGGGGTCTTCAAAGGTTCTTTTCACCATGGACACTCAATATTACTTGGGGACACACACTAAGACAGTGTCCATCTCAACATCTGCTTCCATAATCATAGTTTTAGGAGAAAGACAGGATGTCCCTTATAGTTGGAAATATTTGATAAGCATACTCATAGACACTCTATGACTTAGGTTAGTTGCAGAGAACTCTTTAATTTAAAGTGAGATATATGCAAGGGTTCAATAGCTGATGGGCTAGTTAGGAGGACCAAAGAAATAGAATCAAAGTTGAATTTTCAGAGAACTCTTCCAGAGTTACACACCAGAACCAGGTCGTTTAAGGAGCGGAGTCTCTTCTGAAATTAGGAATCACTAGTGTCAGTATTCCATGAGAATGAAGATCCTTTCTCATTCAGGAAGTCACTGTTGCTGCTGGTTCCAGACCACTGCACACCTGCTTCTCAAAACCCACAAAGGTGATAGCTGGGATCTCTGTCACAGGGCAATAGAAAGCAGCAGACTGAACAGATATAAATAAGTGTGACCTTTTTCTAACCTTCACTTTCCAAATTGTATGCTAGTTAGTGCATCTGATTGGTCAAATCTAAATCATACCCAGATCCCAAGCTGCCGTGGGTTTTTAGACTATGGTACCTACAGTATAGGGAGATGCACTACAACAAAGACAGAGCTGAAGAACAAACCAACATCCATCTTTTAATGCCTGGAAATAGGCTACAGTCACTGGAAGCACATTCTACAGCAACGGTGTTTATTACAATTTTTATCCTTGCCTATTCTTATTTTAAGACATTTACTCTAAATGTTCATAATCAGGCCCTTAGGGATGGGAAAAGTTAAAATTTTCCGTGTGTTGCATTGGCAACACCACAATGACAAACAGGAGTTGTGGAGCAGGCTACACAATGCAGAATACTTTTCAATGAGCAAGATCCTGGACTTTCTATTGATAGAATAATCATACAACATCAGATACGTGGGGTAGAAGAAAAAGATGGGTGAAACTGAAAATGTGTTTATGTCATCTAGGGCTTCAGGGGGACATGAGTCTGCTGACCAGATAATTATTTTCTGCTTGATGACCAAGTGTTGTAATTGAAACCTTACGCCAGCCCCCTGGCCATGGTTCCAATCTTATCAACAAGGCATTCCACTGATCAGCTTCTAGGGTCCCTTGTCATACATGCATCCTCAGCCCCCCAAGTGTTTCCGGTCATACCTTGTGATGCATACCTTTCCCACGGTGCTCAAGCATTCTGCTTTTGATTGATTTGAAAAGAACCTTGCCGGGTTTGGCTCCTATAACTGATTGACCAGGCAGTTCTGACCTCGTATAGGAATACAAAACTACAGGTAACAAATATGATGGCCAAACAGGTCACTTAGGATTAGCAGACCCACACTGGTGTTCTCATTATAATCTGTGGAGGAATATATTTTCTTCAAAAAAAAAATCATGTTATTTGCTATGCTTCAGGCATGTGCACATGTTCACAGTTTATCATCTCCAATTTCCACACGAAATCTTTAGCTAGTCTATCAGTTAGGGGACTGCATTCAGCTGCATGTCATAGACCCCCACCTACAGTGGCTTGATCAAGCATGGTGTTTATTTTCCTTCCATGATAAAGAGTTTGCAGGGGATAATCCAGGGTCAATACAGGGCCCCAGGCAGCTGATTCTGCTCTTACAGCCTTACCTTATAGTTCTCATTCTCACAGATGTAAGATAGCTGTTCTACTTCCAGCCATTATCTGTAACATCCACATTGGAAGAAGAAGAAAAACAAAGGCAGAGGGCAGTTTTTGTTCTGGGTGTCTCCCTGTTTTAGGTGGTGTTTAGCGACTACCTCATGACTTCCGCACACATCTCATTCTCCAGAACAGTGTCACATAGCAACACTCTCTGCAGGGGAACTGGGAAACTAAAGTTTTTGTTTTGTTTTGGTCAGGCCTATTGCCAAAATCAGAATTCTGTTAGTAAGGAAAGTGGCGTCATGAATTTGGGATGGATAACTGTGACTGCAAATTCAGGGCTTTTGGATAAGGATCTATTTTAAAAATAAAACACAATAATACTTTGACATATAAAGAAGTGAGTTGGGCTACTTTTTAAATTTTTAAAAATTGGGTTATTAAGAAAATAAATAAAAAGAAAACCTCCCTGAAAGATTATGGCACATTTTCAGGCTATTTTTCCAGTGCTGGTCAAAAAATTTTACCTTATGGCTACAATTTATTCTGACCTGGTGAACCTCATTTTACTGCTTCTATTAACTCTTACCTAAAACTCATTTTACTGCTTCTATTAACTCTTACCTAGTGTTTGAGAATTATGATAGTTATTAATGTAGCTAACCTCAGAATGACTCATTGCATTCTCACATCACTAAACCTAGATTTTTGTTTTCATTTTGTTTGCTTGCTTTTTTGCTTTTATTGAAGAAAGGAAATAGTCTGATCTCTGAAAGCCAGGATCAATGTGAACATTAACAGAAATGAGGCTATTGGAGATTTCTTACAAGATCCCAAGGATTCTGAGGTTTAAAGGAAATGCCGAAGACTTCAGAAAGGAGTAACCAAACCCCCAGCTTCAATGGCAGGGAGTAGTGCTCTGGGAGTATACTAGCAATGGCATTAGACTACAAGAATGTATAATTCAGGGGCCTCACTGGTGGCCTAAGGGTTAAGTCTCAGCACTATCAACACTATGGCCTTGGGATTGATCCCCAGCCAGGGAGCTAATCCATATATGGTGCAACAGACCTCTCCTGTCTTGCCTGCTGCTGGCCTTAGCAGTGTATTTCAATAAATCTGCCTGTTTTGCTCCTCACTCTGTCTCTGGTGAATCCTCTCATCCCCTGCACCTCTGGCCTATACCCCAGCTCTTATATGCAAAAACTAAATAAATAAAATCTTTTTTAAAAATGTATAATTCAGCCCAAGAGGTTTGCAACAACCCCTAGCTGCATTTTAACACCTTGAAGCTTGTGGCTTTTCCCCTGAAAGGATGGGAACTTTCCTTACTTCATTGTGATCTCACTATAAATGTGAGTATTTGCTTTCTTAACTTGCAACTCCTTGAACCTGACTGGCTCTTAGCACAAGACACACGATAATCTGGCAGGAAGGGATGTCTGCATGAATGTAGCCCAATTCCTGGCCCTAGTCACTAAGCATGGCTAATTCATCCCCAAATAGTCATTTGGGAGCTACAAAGAACAAATTAATTACACTCCTGTGAGTTTCAGTGGTAGCAACCAGAAGAAGGAGAGGTAAATAACACAGAGGCTAAAAAGCATTGGGGATGGAGAACTATGTAAAACATACTCAGGGTAAAGAATCTGTACACAAATTTAATTTGATTTAAGACTGGAGAAAACAACATGTGAGTCCTGTTGGAAGATCACAGAATGGCCTCCTTGCAGTTAATGCAATTAACAGGGATGTTTGTACAATCATTGAAATAATAAATCCTTTAAAGGGTGTGGCTTGTGAGGATTTGTGTGTAGGTTAGGTTTCCTTTCAGGATGTAAGCCCAGGGAATTTAATCTTGTCAGGGGTTCCAGGAGCTGCCTACAGCAGTGCCTGGGCGGATGGGAGGAGGTGCTTTTCTAGGTGTTTTTAATCATCCTTCAGAATCCTTGCAACTAGAGAAAAGGAAGACGAATGTGAAGAAAGCAGGAGGGATTAGGGTCAAAATAAGGGGGAGTGGGAATTGTATGGGCAATATAACCAAGATGAAAATGCATACATTGTACAAAAATGAAAAATGATGTAAAAATATATAAAACAAAAAAAAAGCAGGTAGCGCCACACAAAACTGGAATTGAGGTGAAATGGAGTACATTGGTAATGGCAATGAAGGGGGAGTGTCACCCACAGAATTTTACTCTTCTTGGAAGTATATTACTAAGCTGACAAATTTAATAGATATACATTTATTGGAGTCTAAGTAAACAGCAGTTGAGAGTTAAGACCTAATCTAGAATTCTCAAATTCTACCATAAGAATCACATGAGAAGCTTGTTTGAAATGCAGATTCCCAGGTCTGGCCATACAATTTTCTGATTCAGTAGCTTGGGGTTGGGGATCTAGGAATCTGTGTTATTGGGCAGTCCTGTGATTTGGGATTGTGCTTGGACTATACTAGTTACTTTGTAAAAAGTAAACTGTGGTCTCTTCCAAGTTAGCATCCCAATTGTTGCTTGAGTGATAAAGACAAACCAAACAGACTACTTTCTCCACCTCTTCCTTTTAAAGTTGTTTTGTTACACTTTCGCAATTCTTTGGCCTATTTACTGAAGAAGAGTAACTTAACCTGAAATTACAGAGCTATCAAAAACAGTCATATATCAGTTCTAGATCTGACTTCCCCAGCAACTTGCCATTGCTTAAAGCAAAAGCCTGCCTGTGCCTGCCTGAAAGGGGAAAGGAGAGACAGACTAAGAAGGAGGTGACTGGCAAATGATCTTTTATTTTCAAAATTTCTTTCAAGATTTGAAGATTAAGCACCTTTCTTTCAGATGAAGAAACTGTTGGAGTCCTAAAATGCCACAGAAATCATTAGGGCTGTGCAGTAGCTTTAAAATTCTTTTTTCATTTTTTAAAGATTTATTTATTTATTTATACAAGCACCGGGTACAGTCAGAGGCGCGGGAGGGTGAGATTTTCACCAGAGCCGGAGGGGAGAGCAGAGCAGGCAGACTGACGAAGTACACTGCTGAGGGGAGCAGCGGGCAGCAGGAGAGGTCTGTGCGCCATGTGGGAACCTCGCCGGAGACCTGGGATTGAACCGGCGCAGCAGAGGCTGCGGGCAGCTTCGCAACCCAGCGCCCAACAGCTGTGTCACCAGGGAGGCCCCAGCTTTAAAATTTTTGACTTAGACCCATTCTAAAAATGCATTTCATGTCACAGTGTGAACATACATACATTGACACACTGTGTACATGTGTTTGTGTGTGGTGTGTGTTCATGCAGTAATATATAAAAAATGTAAACATTTTATAAAATATGCTTTATCTCTTACCATGTGAAATGCATTCTGATGTTTTTATCTTCTGCCCTTCTGTTCTCCTCCTTCTCTTTTCCTTAATATATTTCTGATACCATACATGGTTTTGCCCTGATGTTTGAAAAATTCTAGGATAGGTGTAGGATTCCTGCAGCTTTGAGAAGGAAAGAAGGGAAGATAAAGCTGTAAGTTTGTTCACTGATTTTTCCTTCTACCTCCCTTAATTTATCCATAGTCTACCTTGGCTAAACTACATCCATATCCTGTAGAGAAGACTTTACTGTCTTAGACATTGTTTTCTCAAAATAAAACACTTGTAAGAATATACTGATAAACAAATGAGTTTTTACTTCTACTCAGACTGAACTCCTCAATGTCAGACATGTTGTATGTTCATTTCTGTTCCCATGTTTTCAAATCTCCTATCCTGCAATTCTAGCCACCCACAAAGTCACTTTCTTTGCCTACTCTCCTTACCTCCAGGGCTGCCAGCAGAGGTCTGTGTTTATTTTCCTAGATCTAGAGGCTATTGACAGTACAGGAGAATCCTCCATTTCCTTGTACCCTGTTCAGGCAGGCGCAATCCATCTTGCAATTAAATGATAACTAATATTATTTATTTAACACCTAAAACTATTATTGTCAGCACTTGAAATTAACCAAAAGACCCAAATAACCCAAGTTCACCATAACTTTCTTTGTCCAATTAGCGAATTTCATTTTCATCGAAGCCTTTTTGTTATGTGCAGGAAAATATTCACAATTTTATTTGCTACTGTTGATTGTTCAGCCTTGAAAGATGTCAACTAAAGAAGTTAATTTTTCGAGTCATTTTTCATCACAGAGGGAAAAAATTCACCTTAATACCATTTTTGTTGTGCCACCCTTTTATTCTCATGAAGACAACAATTCCATCCAGATTTCAAGGACTACCTAGCATCCTTCCCTCAATATCTTATTTAAAATGTATTCATTTTAATCCACCAAGCACTTTGCAAGTTAACTCTAGTCCAAGATATCTTCTTTATAAACATTATGTTTAAAGGTAAAATTATTGGCCTTTCAGTTTTAATTCTGCTCTAAAGCAAAAAAAAAAAAAAAGAAACAAACAAAAAACTGGTTTTATCTGTTTTTTTTTTTTTAAATATAGAATGCCTGAAAGCAATGACTCTATTGAAAAAAAAAATAGGATCATGTCAAAGGAACACAGGCATTAATGTGAAAATGACCTCATATGTAGAGGCGATATGAACATCAATAAATAACATAATAGCAATAGATTAAAACCCATCAAATGAGTAAAATTCTGTGAGTTTCTAAAGAGGTCCTAAAAAAAGAGTCATTGGATATTGTGGTATTTGCTGGTATTTCCCTGGGATACCAACTCATCATTTTAAAAATTAATTTTTTAAATGTCAAGAATTAAAATTAATTAATGACATTACTTGATGCATATTTGCAGGCTTTGTATGACCAAAGTAGATTTGACAATACCTACACTATAAAAATGCATTTTCTTATCCTGTGAATTTTTGTCTTCTAGTATTTTCATGAAACTAACCTTGACTAATTTTGCTTTTTTAACTATTTCATATGAACGAAATTAATCAGTATGTTCTTTTGTTTTGGCTTCTTTCATGTAGCAATTTGGTACTGATTTTCATTCATATTGGAATATTTTGTTCCCATTTACAGCTGGGTAGTATTCCTTTGTACTTGTTTATTACAATTTGCTTACTCATTCACTAGAACTTTTCCTGGACCTGTTGCAATGATCATATTGGTTTTTCCCTTTATACTATTAATATGGTCAATTACATTGATTGTCAGATGTTAAACTTTGCAAACCTCAATATTCCAAATGTTTTATCCTTTTAAATGTTGTTTGGTTTGATTACTAACATTTTCTTGAAGATATCTGGGTAATGTTTATGTAGGATATTGGTCTTTGTAGCTATCTTTTCTTTTGAGGTCTTTCAGTGACTTTGGCATCCTGGACATTTGAAAGTGTTTTTTGCAATACTTGCTTAATGCCTTGCAGAATTTTAAGAAACATTAAATTATGCATGGCAGGTGTCATTTAAATATATTGTCAAATATAAAATAATTCGCACTGACCTTGCTCGTTCTTTTTCTAATTCCCATGATATACACATCTTATTCATCATCAAGCCTATTCATCATCCAGTTGCTGAATCGGTGAGTGACTTGTAATCACAGATTTTAGGAAATCATAGCTAAGCAATTTTAGTGATTATTGTCACCAGACATCTAGAGGGGAAACCAAGAACCTTAGAGATTGCCAAAACGTTCCAGAACAGAACCCCTTCCCACTCTTACAGGTCTCCATGTTACAACAGTCATTATAAACCTTTATGGCTAAGAAACACATTAACTGCCTACTGTGCACAGCTTTACATCATAAAGTTAACTTGTACATCCTTACTCCTTTTCCTCTCTTCGCAAGGCCCACATCCCTCCTACTGATAAAATTCAAAGAGAGACCAGGCAAACAATGAAACTAGGATCCCGTGGTTTGGCGATTAGTAGTTGAACTGGGCATGCTCAGTCGCCAGGCAGATTTTTCTGTGAAGTGGAAACCACAACAGCGCGTACCCTGCGCGCGGAGGTAGGCGTGTCCTCGTGGAATTTAGAACGGTGCCCAAGCCAATGGGGCCTCGCAGCCTGCTGCCGGGGATCCTCATTGGAGGGGCGGGGAGGCGAGCGAGTAGAGGGCCCCTGGAGGGAGCCGAGGTGCAGGTCGGAGAGGCCAGGCTACGCTGTGCCTGCCCGTGAGCAGCTGCGCGCCGGCGGCGGCAACATCCAGCGGTGGTGCCAGCAGTTCCTGCCTATTGCTTTACTTTTTCTTGCTGCAAGAACATAGTCATTATGCCGAAAAGAAAGGTAAGTCTTATCAAAAAAAAAAAAAAAAGATTCAAGGGCTTTCAAATTGTGCTTACAGCAAATCTGGCCATTGAAATGGATTGCGCGGAATGGAATGTACTCGGTAGCAACTCTATGATTGCCAGTCTCTGCTCTCGACGCTTGTTGTCAGATGCCTGTTGCAGACATTCCTTCCTTCTAGATCTCAAAATGTTACTTTCTTTGCAGTGACGCCGCTTCCCTTCTTTTTGAACTCATTCTAGCAGAAATGGATTCCACCCCCAACAAGAAGCCAAAGCGTTTTTCCATTACCCTTTCCAGGAGGGAGTTTCCTCTGCAAACTGCCAGGTTGTGATTAGTGTAAAGGGGAAGCAGCGAGAAGGGGGAAACAAGTACTTGCTTAGGGAGATCGAAAAAATATATAAGTCGGACAGATGCTGGGGTTATTCCCATGTGGGCTGTGCCCACAACTGGGTGCGCCGCAATGGCTCTGAGGCTAAGAGGGAGGGAAAGCCATATTTAAAATTGCGCTCACCTCCTGCTCGCCTCCGCGGCAGACCCGTATGTACCAACTCCAGTGTCAATCACGGCTGGGGACAACACGGGCGGGGCCTTGGGTGACCGGGACCTGCCTACAGTTCCCGCGGAAGCCAGGGAGTTGGCAGCGATCAAGACGCAAGACGGGACGCCCTCTACGCCCCCACTGTTAACTGCCAAGGGCTGAGACCCCCGTTAGGTCCACTCCCACGACTCAAACCCACAGTCGGCCCTGGAAGGCAGGGTGCGCGCGCTCCCGAGCTCCTCGGTGCTGGAGCAAAGTGGGGTCATCTTAGTCTCCTCTTGCTCTCTTTGCGGACTATTATGGCCTCTCCCGCGGGGTCCTGGCCACCGAGTATCTCGCTCCGGGACGCACGCTTCCCTCGGAGTGAGCCTGCGACTTGTCATTGTCCCAAGGAAGGAATGAAAGGCTTCTGAGAAAAGCAGTGTGTGGTGGTTGCTCTTACAAAAATGCTGCGCACCCTCCCACCGCCTGCCCCGGTGTTTGCAACAATGTCACCCCGTTGGCTGTTAAACTTGAAGCAAAATTACAAGTAATACCCTTCTTTATCAGTTTCAGACTGAACTGATTAGTGCGTAAGTGAATGCATTGTTTAAAAATACCGAAGTTTTAAAAATGCAGGTTTTTCCCTTCTACCCTGTCACTACTAAGAATTTGGTGGAAACTTGTCTCCTGCTGCTCTATTTTAAAACAATAAAAGTTGTTTAGTTTTAATTTTAGAATTTACTGTGCGCATACTGTGTACTTTATGTTGTGGGAGGAATTTGACTTGCATTAGGCCTTTAATCCTCAGAACACCTTGCGGGTTGAACTGGGGCTTAGAGACATGAATAAGCCAGCATCTCACCAACCAGCTAACAGCTAGTACCAAGGTTTTAATTTGATAAGATAGGTCCAGAAGCTTTAGTTTCAAACATTTATTCATTCTCTTTATTTAGTGGTAGGTGAATCAAGAGGAATTTAGGAAATACGAGACTCCCAGCCTAAGAAAATGGATGTCATATATTAAGAATATATTTGAGATCCATTATTTAAACTTCATTTTTGTGAAAGTATTGTTTTTCCAGCCCTGTTGTACTAGAATGAGGATATCAGAATGATGCCACCATTTTGAACATTTTATCTGACATTTAATGACAATATTGGGAATTCCAGCTGAGTCAAAGGAACTAATCAATAAAAAGTGGGTTACAGAGTAATTTGGTGCCCTTCTTCTTTACTGAGAATTAGTAACAAGTTAAATGAACAGGAGGGTAGATGTCCATGAACTCTTGATGTATAATAGACTCTGATGTTGTGGAATCCTCTTTGTTCATTAAGTTGGTGAAACCATTACTCTTACTTTCCCTCACTCCATCTCTCTTAAGGAAATAGAGAAGAAAAGAACAGTAAACAGTAGAGAAACTGGCTTTTGATTATTGTTTTTATTTCCCTGGGAAGCAGGGACCCTACATGAATAAGCTAGCCAGGCATCAAGGGACTGGAGTCAGAACTGTGTACAGGTACCTGTGTATCATCCCTTAGGACAGTGGTGTGTGCTTCAGAGATGGAAAACCTCTCCTTGATAAATAGGAAAATTTTTCATTTATGCCTGGGACCCAGAAACCTGAGTTGGTGCCTGGACAAGAGACAAATTAAACATTTCTACCATCACCATCCTATATCTCATTCAAACCATAGAGCTGTCTCATGGAATCCTGGAGTTCACTAGAAATTACACTAGAAACCATTGTCATGAGCTTTTTAAAAAAGAAAGAAAGAAAGAAAAGAAAAGAACTGAGGACAATCTGTGCATAGTTCTTTGATATCTGTAACTACAAAAGCATGTGCTACCACTCCACAATATTTTTCTTGATTAAAAGACTGCCTGAGCTATGTAATAATACATTTTAAACATGTCCCACAAGATTTTCTGACATGTTGACTCCTTTTTTCAACTTGTCCTAGAAATCAAGAATTGTTTCTGATTAAATACCTAGGTTGTTCTCAGAACTAAAAGTGGCACTTAAAAAGTCAGTGAAGACATCTGGAATCCTAGTGCTGTCTTAATGCCATAGGGATACACAGTCTCCCCTCATGGAGCTTATATTTAATTCAATGAGATAAGACTAGCAGGCACAAAGCATGAGTGACATAGAATTTGTTACATGTGTTCTATGAATGACGTAGAACCTGTTCATATGTTCCAGAAGGTAATATATAGGTTCTAAAAGCTATAGGATAGATAAGGTAAAGAAAGTTGAATTTGAGTTGACCTTAAGTGTGGGTAGCAATCAAATTATTATATAACAAGAAAAACAGAGTGATAGTCTGTTATCAGACATTTGAATGTCTCCTCTGTTTGTACCTTAACAAGACCAGGTCTCAGATATACAGTAAGAGCTATAATATCCATGTTATTTATAAAACATGATTATGACATTTTTAGTCATATCTGAGTTTTATTGTGTGAGAGACAGTCATACCTACTTTAAACCAAATTATTTTTTTTTGTAACAGTTGTAGTAATTTTTTTTAAAGCAGTCCAGCACTCAATAGTGAGAACTTCTTCAATCAGCATTAAATCTCTGAATTTGTGGGACTTAAATAAAGTTGAATTCCTATATTTCTTATATAATGCATGGGTAATTGATCACTACCCTTAAACTGTGAGTAGAATAGCAGCAAAAATGGTAATATTCCTGGACGCACGTGGTGGTGGGTCGATGAGTGACAGTTCTAGACTGCTGTGGCCACACCCAGGGATGCCTGTACTGGTCACGTTGCTCCGTGGTGACCTGATCTACGAAAAGGCATCAGCCTGTGAGGCCTGAAGTCATAGTCTTGGCATGATTAGCAATAGCAAACACATTTTCACATCCTTTAAAAAAAATTTTCCAGTTCCTCTTTACTAGAACTATTGAAAATGTCTAGCCTATCACATCAGAAATTCTTTGAAGAGGTAGTTTTCCATAGATTGGGATTATAAACAGTGTCTCATCCCACTTAAAGGTTTAAAGAGGAAAAGTTGTCTGCTTCTAGCTTTGAAATCTTAGACCAGATTTTGTGTTTCCTTAAAATAGAAAGGCCTATTAGATCCTGGTGTGGTACAGGGGATCTTAACTAACAATACTCAGTTTTTCTGATTAATCTTTCAAAAGACTATCACTTGTTATAGCACCAAAGATAGACATTACAAAGAAAATACAGATAAATTGATGACATGAAAATGAATACTTCAGTTATATTTTTTAAAAACACTACTGGTCATAAAATTTAAAAGCATGTAAAAACTAGGGGAAATATTGTACTATATAACACTAAAAAAGTGCTGTTGTTTTAAAAAGATAATGAATCTTACGTTTTTATGGAAAAGATGTGTATTGTAAGATATGTAATCTTATAAGAAAATTTCAAGTAGATGAAAGTATTTAGTTTTACCAGAAATAAGAAAAGTTTATATTATTAAGAATAATGAGCTATGATATTTTTAAACCAATCTGGTTAAAAAAAGATTGATATCACTGCCCAGTCTGAAACTGCAGCATTCTCAAACAGTGTGGATAAGAACATAGTTTCCTTAAAAAATACCTTTATTGAGGTCTGATCTACTTAACCATAAATTCTATCAATCTAGTCAAAGTATATACATTGGTGATTTTAAATAAATTTATAGAGTCATGTAACATTACCTTACCCCAGTTTCAAACCATTTCCATTACTCCTAAAAGGTCCCTCATGTTGTTTACAGCCAATCCCTACTCCCACCTCAGTCTTAGGAAACCTCTGATCTGCTTTCTGCCTCTATAGATTTGGAACTTTTATAGAAATTTTCTGGAAATTTTATAGATAAGGAATGAAACCAAGTACATACAGTCTTTTGTGTCTGGTGTCTTTTCACTCAGCATAATGTTTCTGAGGCCCATGTATGTGGTAGTAGCTATCAGTACTTCATTCTTTTCTTTTCATCCAGTAATTGTGTTTCATGTCACACCACTTTTTATATCCCTTCACAAGATGATGAATATTTGAATCCTTTCACTTTGGAGATATTATAAGTAATGCCATAATATGTAAATGAATATTTACATATATCTTTTCGTGGATTTATTTTCCATTCTCTTGGGAAAATCCTTAAGGCTAGAACTAAATATAGAATGGAAATCTATATTTAACAATTTAAGAAACTTCCAAACTTTTCTGAAGTGATAGAACCCTCGGTGCATAAGAGTTCCAGTTTTTCCACATCCTTGCTCATACCTGCTATTTTCAGTTTTTTATTTTTCTTACAGACTTTTTAGCTAATTATAACTTACATTTCCATAGTAACTAATAATGATGACCTTTAATTTTTTAAAATTCTTTATTGAAGTAACATTCATTATAGCATTATATAAATTTCAGGTGTGTATCATTATAAATCAATTCCTGTATATACAACGTTACATTCCCCACTATGCTTACTAGCATAATGTACATCTTA